TTTGAAAACTTGACTTAAATTGTGAGTCCCCATGTGTGCGGCTCCACTTGTACAAACGGTTCCACTTTGTTGGTGTGTATCCGGACCAATGGCTCCATTTCTACTTCTACATGATGCATGACGTATGCGCGATGTTTGATATTAATCAAGACATGGCAGAAATCCACACACACTTACACGCACGCACATGTGCGGACACAGATGTACTTGTGTTGGACCTTGTCCGAACTAGGACTAAAATGGCCATATGAATGTCCAAAATGATAACTGACAACAATATGGGTGTTATGATTTCGGCATACCCATATGATAGTGATTGACAACAGTCTATGGAAAACCACATTGGGTGTCAATGTTTATATCGAGAAAATAGTCTGCATTAACAATTCTGAGGCCGATGAATAGTAATAGACGAGATTTGAGTAATAGAATAGAATAGAATAAGAATATAAGCTAAGTTAATACTGAGTTAGCGGCTTTGTTTGTCTTTGGAAGTTATTAACAATGCAGATGTATCGGTGCTTTTGTCTTAATAAGACTCTCTAGTACTTTCAAAACAAAATAGGCGAGAAAGTAAAACAGGACAGGACAGGACATCTACTTTTAATATAATACTGTTTAGCTAAACACAATATAAACACATTTATTAGCTTGTTCTGCGAGGGATGTTTATATATTTACAACGTGAGAATGCAAATTTAAATAGACATATAAACATCTTGAATTGTCAATGTACAATGCAATCTGACTAAACTGAAATTTAATTTGTCGGTTTTGGGTGTTTGAAAGTGTTTTGTCTGACAATTGTGAATATTTTGCGTGTAGAACTCATATTTCTTTGATTACGGTTATTGTTAAGCTACCAATTTCTGATTATGAGTCCGTCAATTTTGTATTGCGTGTGATATACGATCGAACAGAGATGTATTTTCGTTTCATTTCGTTTCCCATCTTCAAATACAATAGGCTGAATTTCAACTAATACTTAAATAGACATATAAAGTGAAATAGCACACGCTTAGCTCTAATATTGATGCAGCTATGCCCTTTTATGTTTTGAATACCAACTTGACATCCATCTTGGGTTTCTAGCCATGCTAAATATCAAAGAAAAAGCAAATAACATATATATTTGGATGGGTTAGAACATTATTCTGTATTTGGCAACCCGACTAACACGAACATGATATTATTGTCTGATACCTGGGTGCCCCAAAATTTCGGTCTATCAGATATTAAATCAATGTTACTAATCCTGTCATTTCTTATAATGTATACAGATTCTCAAATCGGTTTTCCGAAGTTACCGAGCTGTGGACCAGATTTGCCAATACCGCTGACAGATGGCTATTGGAACAATAATCAGACATATATTTCAATGGTATGTCGAAGTCAGCAATGGACACTAGATACATTTCACAAATGTGCAGCTAACAAGAAATTCATAGGAAGTGGTGACTCTGTATTACGGCAATTCATACCGCTTTTTACTGAATTTAAAGACAATTTTGACTTTCAATTCATGACACCAAGAATTGCAGGACCAAATGTTTCGATATGGGAACCATTGTTTGAAAATGACATCATAGACAATATATCTCAAAGTGATTGTCAGTCACGCAACTATGTAGTGATTCAAAACTTCTGTTTTCATTACGGTGCGTGGTCGACCAGATCATTTGTAGAACGTCTCGTTCAGGCAAAGCTTTCTGTTGAAAGACTTATGAAACGATGTCGAGATCCTAAAATTGTAATAAAAATGAGTCATTCACGTGACAATGTATACGTAGAACAGCAAGTTCACAGTAATAACTGGAATTTTTATGACATGAACAGAATTATTCGCCGTGTTTTCGGTGGGATTGGGGTGTATTTTGTTGATGTATGGGATATGGTGATCTCTTCATTCTATGACATCACAGTTCATATGGACATGGTTGTAATCAGGCAAGAATTTTACCTGATGCTTTCGTATATTTGTCCTGAATTAGTGAAAGCGTAGGTTTATTCTGATGTCCTGAATTAGTGAAAGCGTAGGTTTATTCTGATGTCCTGAATTAGTGAAAGCGTAGGTTTATTCTGATGTCCTGAATTAGTGAAAACGTAGGTTTATTCTGATGTCCTGAATTAGTGAAAGCGTAGGTTTATTCTGATTTTCTGAATTAGTGAAAGCGTAGGTTTATTCTGATGTCCTGAATTAGTGAAAGCGTAGGTTTATTCTGAAGTCCTGAATTAGTGAAAGCGTAGGGTCATTCTGATGTCCTGAATTAGTGAAAGCGTAGGGTCATTCTGATGTCCTGAATTAGTGAAAGCGTAGGTTTATTCTGATGTCCTGAATTAGTGAAAGCGTAGGGTCATTCTGATGTCCTGAATTAGTGAAAGCGTAGGTTTATTCTGATGTCCTGAATTAGTGAAAGCGTAGGGTCATTCTGATGTCCTGAATT